GACTCCGTGCTACTACTGAGAATTTTTTAAAAACACAATAATACTTTGCTCGACCCGGGAATCGAACCCGAGACCCCTTGCCCGGCAGTCGCACCACGGCCAACGAGGCAGTCTATCTATGTTATATATAACAGACCATAATCTACACCTGTTCCTAATTTCATCTCGACCTCTTTAGCGGTTTGACGGGAAGGACTTATAAACTTTCGCATTTATAATTTTAGTAGGATTTTAATTTTAGTAGGACATTTGAACTTTTAGTGGAAAATAAATCAGAGCCTTACTCGTAATATAAAATAGGTTAATTAATTCCAATACAGATTTAATAAAGATACTTGCCTAATAAGTCTGGTACTACGAGTGCCTATGGGCGGTATTGATCACTTACCACTAAGCGATCCGTATGCTCATTTGCCCTACCTCATAAAATCTTTCTCACACAGTGTACTTCAACGTAGCCTCAAGCACTTCCATTATCTTTAAAAAACCGTAAAGTAATTTGAAAAGGTTTAAAATAAATCCAAGGAGCATTATAACTGACCCTTTTTAGATGAACAGTAATTATCCTTTCTAAAAAATAATAGGGATCCTTCTAAGATTATCGTACACCATTATATGTAGCTAGGGTGGTATAAAACCTTGTTGGAGAGTTATTGAATTTATTTAATAAGATTTTTTTTTAAACGTTGCCCCACGCTAGGATTTTCTCCTGTGTCGTGGGTGCGTTTACATACATACAAATTCACATACACATACACCCAGACCCGGAACAACAATTTGTGGATCACACAAAGTTTTGTTCCGTGCGGGAATCAAACCCGCGACGCGTTGCACGGCAGCCGGTTGCCCTGCCACCGCACCAACCGTGCCGTCAAAGTATCTTGTACCTTGTTAAATGTTCTATAAAAAAACATTCATATTATTATAGGGAAACTATTACGTCCTTTTATTACAAGTAGTTTTATTATTTTATTTATTAGGTTACCCATTAACTGTACAGAAATCATGAAATTGTATTATTATATTTGCTCAAGTCAAATTTTAAAAACAAATAAATAAATATTCTCTTTCTATCAATCAACACCAAACGTTGCCAAAAAGTATTTTTACTGCTTGAAACCACATTAGATGAAAAAAAGTAAAACCAGTTTTATCAAAAAATAAATAAATCGATTGTCTAGTCTGTGCACAGCACAATACGAAACATTATTACGCACCCAAAGGATGTAGTGATTACTTCAACGTATTATTACAAACGCGTATCAAGTGGGATCATATTATTTCTCTAACGTATCTAACATGATCCAACTGCCCGATGGATCACAAATTACCAGTCTCTTAGAATCGGAATGCAACTATTATTAGACGTGATTGCAGTTTACAACTATTTTATGTTTGTTTCGATTGATACTATAGTTTATATATTAATTTGGTTTAGTCATTAAATGTGTAGTGGGTACTTAGTAACTTTTACATTTCTTAGTTTTAGATTTTTTAGTTGTTTTAGTTCCAAAAAGATCAAGGTTTAAATGGGTTATCCTTTTACTATGTTCGGTATAAAATTGGCAAAGAATATTTTTGGCCGCACGGTTGGTGCGGTGGCTGGGCAACTGGCTGCCGTGCAGCGTGCTGCGGGTTCGATTCCCACACGGAGCAACACTTAGTGTGATCCACTAATTGTTATATCGGTCTGGGTGTCACGTATATGTGAATTTGTAAGTTTATAAATGCACCCACGACACAGGAGAAAATAATAGTATGGGGCAAGGTTTTTAAGAAATAAAATATCATTTTCAATATTATAATTGTGTCCAACAAAAAAAATTTCGTAGGTATAAAAGCTTTACTGAATTGTACAATAGCGCTTAACAAACAAATCTAAAAAAAACATAGAACATTCGACATATATAAGTAAGAACTACTCACAATTGAACCATAGAACATGTTTCACTTACATCATCAACGAATTAAATGAACGTAATTAAAGTACATAGTAATTTCATTACAATCTGGTAACTAGCTGCATGATGGCTGTTTATTGAGTACGTGTAAGCAATTATTGGGTGTTAAAGTATTTCTCAGATTTGAGACTGCAGGCTCACACTTAATTTGAGACTGTAGGCTCACGCTTAATTCGAATCGGACGTGCGTCGATAATATGATGTTAAAACTTGTTATTATTAGCTGTAGCGTGTGCTGTAGTTTGAGGTGTGTATTATACATATTTTATGATATAAGAAATGCTGGTTTTCGTGTGTGTAATGAAGACTTTGTATATTAGTATACAACGATTTATGCCTAGTAGGTGCATTGCCATTCAACAAAATCTGGTTAAGACACCGTGTTCATCCCAAAATAATTGGATCAAGGCTCGGGGAAAGAAACTATAAATATTTTGAAATCCACAGTACCAATAATCTAGTTGCGTCTCCAGTTCCGCACATGGCATTGTAAATTAATACCAAAACAGTTAAAATAAGACATTGAAATTCAAATATAAAATCAATATATAATTAGGAAATATTCGAAAAAATTTTTAAGAAATCGCGACTTTCTCTAAGATATTATTCTATAATATGGAAATAATATACCTACTTATCCGCAAAAGCATAAATTACGAAGTATCGAGACAGCGTTCAATTAATAATATCATTGACATTTACTGCTGGAGAAATTCATAGAAATATAAATCAGTGACGTTTTAGATGTAAATAAATGTTCACGCTCGCTTGACTTTATGTGAGCCTGGTATCTTCGCGAGTAGGTTTCATAATTTCTTATTGATACTATCTTAATTATTGCGGATATATGCTGATTAAATTCTATTTCTCTTAGCAGTCTTTAGTGATACTTAGAAACCGTCAAATGTGTTTAACTAGAGTTGATTTTCATTTGATGTTTCCTCTTATTTATCTAATGATATTTTCTTCATTAATGTCGGTTTCCTGTGATGCTTTTAGAAAAGGAATGCATTGGATATTAAACCTTTTTGTTTGGTCTTTGGTTGAATTGAAAATTGGAAATGAAATTTCAAATGGGCATGTTTTAATCACACTTACCTATATTATAAATGTAATAGTTTCTTTGTTTGTATGTTTGGATGTTTGTCCGTCAGTCACGCTGAAACTATAGAACGGATTTTGATGAAATTTGGTATACAGGCAAGGTATAGGCTGACTTAGATGATATATATATGACCTTTTATCCCGATTAAATGCTCCAATTAGATAATACGGGAACCATATTTTACGCGTTCGAAGTCGTGAGCAACTGCTAGTTAATAATACAATTATCATTCCGTGCAAAATACGTAGTAACGTCTGATTAGTGGTTTTTACCCTATATGACATAAAGATTGGAGAAAATTCGTTATAATTTTGAAGCATACCATTTTTAAATTATGTAGGTACTTATTAAATGTTCAGTAGTCCTGCAAAGACACAACAAATAACTCAGTTTTACATGCAAACATGTAAATTACAACTGTATTAAAATTTTTGTCAACTATCTCTTTCACTCCTATGCATTTCAGTATCCGACCGTTACATTTCAAAAATTCCTTGTTGACGCGTGGGAACTGCGCGGGCGTCGTTCCAGGAACGTGCGCTTGCGATCATCAAATCATTTCTGTACATAGAGTATTTAATACAACTTGAATTTTCCTCATAAATGAGGGCGAAACGTGTTTTCTTTAGCTTAAGAATTTATTAATATTAATATTTAAATATATAAACTATATGTGTTAGAATAAACAGTTATGATGATTTGAATGTAAAATGTTTTTTTTTTTTTGTAATTGAATTAATTAGGTATGCAGTAGATACATGTTTTCAGTGTGAAGTTAGTGAAAGTATTGTTTTTAATAAAGATTTTTAGGTTATTTTCCAGTTCACTCCTATTATGTATAACGCAGTTATGGACTTATGGCACAGATTTTCATTATGATTTTTTACAACTTTTATGTACTGTCGTTTTTCGCTTGGTAAGTTATTATATTACTTATATCTTCCAATTTAAAATACCAAAACATTTTAACAAGTCTCATTAATATTTTCGTCAATTACTCGTGTCGCGTCTCCCACATAATCTTTGGTATCCATCACCGTGTGCCAACCTGCCAACTGGCCAATCATCCAATTTTGGCTTAAACTCACATTACAAAAATTATTCTTTGCACATTTATTATGTTTACACTGGTCTCTTTCGCGGAAACCTTCTCTTTAAATGTCCGCGCCTCGTTGAGAACTGTACGGGAAATACAAACTTTGTTTTACCGTTGCAAATTGTAATGACATTGGAATATCGATCTTAGTGTTACGTGTTAAGGTGGTGGTAGAGGGTAAAAGTGTGTATGGTGTCATGGTATCTATGAAAGGAGTAATTATTATCGTTTCTTACTTATAACTTTTAATTGATGTTGATGGTAAAATCAATGTTATTGTTTTGTTTCGTGATACATGAGCTCGAGCATTGATTGTGTAGAACCGTTATTGTATTACTGGGAATCAAATCCCAATTGTATGGAATTGATAAAGTAATTATTTTGTACAATAGTGCTGGTGATGATTTTTTGTTAGAAATCATTATTTTTAATTGCGGTCGTTTAACAATTGACTATCAACCTAACATCACCTAGCACATTCTATTTTAATAAATAGGTACTTTTATAACTATGTATTTATAAAATTGTCTATGTTGGTGGTATTACTACGTCAAAAATGTATACGAGGAAGTAGTCGAAACACTACATAATTTTATATTAATTCTTTTATAATTATTTGGAACAACATTTCCCATTGGCCATTTGTAATATTTTTTTCCGCAAAATAATTAACTTTCTCTTCAACACGATCGAAGCACAGATACATGAAGCACTAGTAAACGACAACTGAAGCCTCTTTAGTCTGACAATATGAAATATTTTCCACTCATCCCATATTATGTGTTAGTACATCTTATTGTTATAATGTCTCACATTTCACTCAAAATGGCATTTCTCTGCAGACGCGGGCGCGAGCTGGCGAGTTATGGCCGATGGAACGGCCTGAAGGCATGCCAGTAATACAATCGCTAGAGGTCATGTGCGGGAAGGATCACATGGACGTCCATCTCACGTTCTCTCACCCCTTCGAAGGCATTGTCTCGTCAAAAGGTACGTATTGTGTGTCCATTTTGATCATGAATTATTAAGCGAAGCTTTTATGTGCGTGGATATTATTTATTTATATTGTTAGTGATGATATGTCATCTGTAAACAAGAATGAATTGATTTGTAAAAGCAAAATTGATGACGGCCTTCTTATAGACAATAGTGAAGAGACTGTCACTGATAAAGCCATCTTACTATTTACGTATTAAACATTTTATTAAAAATGAAACCTAAGAATAATTGACCTCAAATTTTGTTAACATGGCCGAAAAGAATGGAAGCAATGCAGTTATGGATGCACTACAAACTACATAGTAATGGTACTACTCATCATACAACCGTAGAGGCACACGAGGAAAATGTTAGAAACCGGTGTATTCAGACCGCCACTAATTGTTGTGGTAATTGCTAAAGTTTCACTAACAATTATGACGGATACATACCTACTTAGTGAATTATTAATAACACATGCTCCAGTTGCGAAGCTTAAGTACTCGACACAGTTATATACAGTACTTGGATTTTGTTTAATTCAATTTATAGTAACGTTGTAATTTGTGATGATATGAGTAATTTCTCTGATAACATCTACTGTTGGTCTAGTTTTTTAGTTTTCTTTGATAATGTGGACCGGTAAAATGTTGATACAGATGTAGGCAATGAAAGTGTTTTTAATGTAGGTTAATATGAAAAGAAACTAGCTAGAATCCAAAATGAGGAGGGCGCAGATGATAATTGGGTCTAGTTTAGAATTAGAATCTAGTAATAGGGAAGAGGTCAAAATAAGGGATAAAAGGAGATTTGAAGTACAAGACATATCAATCAAGATGTCACACAAGAGTGCTTCTGAACTTTTCTTTCATAGCACGATCATAATGTCCAAGAATGTCGTTAAACGCGAAATAGCGACCTAAGTTCAGTTACACAAAGTTCGATTTACTTTGCGATAAAAATAACAGTGAAACGACGACAGACGACATACGTATATCTAGATCTCCATATACGTATATCTAGATGTCTACGTACATCGTTTGACGTGTTTATTACTTTTTCTTTATTGCTCCTATTTTTAAGTTTATTCTTATTATTGACATTATTTGCCTAAAATTGCATTGTAAAGGTGCATAAATAGTTTGTTTGAGCCATATCAACTAATTAGTAGGTGGGCCAGTAATTGGGCCTCCGGTAACCTCACTCATACGACGAAAAACTCTGCGAGTTAACGCGAGCATTGTTTCAAGTCAGTTTTCTGCAGCCTCATTCATGCCGAAGCATGGTTCTCCTACACTTAAACATTTGTCATTTTCCCATTGGTTCTTTGGTTAAGTGGTCGCAAATACAAATATTTAGTTCCAAGACTCACATTTTGCCAAATAAATTCATTAAACCAGATAAGATTTCTAGAAGTTAGTGTTTTAGAAGGCCGTTCATTTATTTTATCACCAGTAAGTTCTATTTTAGCTTTCATTACTTCTCTATTATCATTCACAGGTTAAATTACTTCTTCATTACACGATTAAATATTTAATGCTTCCTTCTTGCTCTCTAAGCATCCTATGGTCTTTATCCCAACACATTACTTTAAGGCCATTAGTACGGTTTATCTATGCAACGATACTGAGCTAATGTAAATAAAGTGCAAGCACGTAATTAGCAATTAACGTACATAAAGTCGAGGCTTTAATTGTAGGACTTCGTTCATTGTGAAGTACGGTCTTCTATAAAAGCAAGGAATTTATTTGTTCTTTAGTTTCTTTATAAATATAGATAATTCCAAGGTATGGTTTGGATAGATTAATTTCTGGTGTGACATTTCTGGTGTGGCCTTTTCTAAGTTCTTCTGTCGTCTTTTACTTGCCCTTATTCTACATCAGACGTCATTCTATAACGAACTCTAAAGTATTTGTTTTTATTGTACAATTTGTATTGTGTAATGTACTTGACATTACAAATCTCCAAAATTAACTTTTTATCGCATCAAAAGCAATTTTCCTTGTCATATAACTAATAATTAATCTGATAATGACTTTGATGTGTTCTCAGGTCAACATGGTGACCCCAGATGTGTGTACGTGCCGCCGTCGACGGGACAGACGTACTTCTCATTTCGGATCGCGTACGCCAAGTGTGGCACTAAACCAGGTAATTATACTGTTAATTATTAATTATATGGTAATTATCATTATTTTTAAAGACTTCTTCATTTTTGGTGTGTATGGTTTTATGAAGGTTGTGTGATGCTTTCGGAGTAATATCTCCATTATAAGTTCCAAGGCATTACTTGTAGTGGTTTCGGTTCTCAGATGTAATCAGGATGATATACTTACTTGTATAACCTAAACTAAAAGTAGTAGACGTGTTTGTAAAATTCATGAACATAAACTATACAACGTCATCAAAACAGGAAACAGTCCAAGTATGTACCAGCTCCCGAATTAAAAAGACCGCGAAAATACCTCAAACATCAGAGTCGTGGGAATTCAAATATCTCACAGCAATTTGCGAATATATTTCTTATTGACAAGACATGCAAAATAAAGGGAAACGACGAGCTAAGGCAAAATCTACACAGTGAAGGTAATTAAATCTCGTCTCGGTTGGATTAGTATAAATGGACCGTGAGTAGTGGCGTGAAATCAATAAATATATCCGATGCCTAATGATGCGAACTCGCAATTAGTCGATATAATAAATCGATTAAACAAATCGACTGAACGTACACCATTCTGACATTGTTCATGATCGTCCTTTACCTTCGTTTGGACTGTTCTACAATCTATAGTCCATCTGTTTAGGTAATTAACTAAAGGTAAACAAAGAAAACCACGTGACACAGAGATACTTAACCTACTATTACTTCAAATATTTCTCGTGTTTTAATTTTAACTAAATTCACTTTAAACTCGTTCATTTGTCATACACACAACACAACTACAAATGCCTAAATCGTACAAGAGCCTTGCTTTGGTCTATTTCATTATCATGTTTAAATAGAAACTATTCTGAATCTGATGTACGGATTTCTTTCTTGTACGGATATGTGTCTTTGGGCCAAGTTTCTTCAAAATATTTGAACACATTAATTACAAACGATGAATAACCTAAACTTGAATAACTTAATAACGAAAACAAAACAAAGAAACAAGATAAATTCAACAAAATAGGAACGCGAGCGCAAACGACGAGAGAGCTGTCAATGGCGCCTGATTAACCGACTAAACGTAATACACGCTACTTTCATTGTCGCGCTACATCTTAGTTGTACTCTTTAATTTGACAACATTATTTTGCTTCGTTCTTAAAGAAAAGTTTTGGATACCTGGGATTTTAGGCTCTTTATGGTGTCTATTGTAATGAAATAATATATTATTTAATAAATGTTATTAAATTAATATCCTCAAGCAGATATATATAATATTTACTAAGAAATAAGTGAAAAGGAACAGAAACATAACATTTAATAGAGAAAACTGTCGTAAAAACGGAAACAATTTTATTTTCTTATGAAGTATTTTGAATCATGGAAATGTCAACTATAAAGAACTCTTTTTATGGTTTGTTTACAAATAGTTAACTACCTAAATAGACGGAGTATAGTTCAAATAATCAATTTAAATTGAACATCGCGCAAAAATTACATTTGCACTAACTCTTTATGATATACGCAATTTTTTTGATGATCTAATTATACTATAAATGAATACGGAAATTGAAATAATTGACATGAAGGTAATCATAAAAGAAACTTTGCTTTTAGGCTGTAAGAGCACTAGAAATATATTGCAAATTTGAGGCGAAAGTGAGGAACATTTTTATGACTTAAGCGTAAAATTTCACATTGGATAAATACAGCCAGTAAAAATATAGGAGGTACACGCCTTTTACGTCTGTTAACAGCTAGAATCTCAAAATAAATTACTATTTTTAGTCTACTCTTTTAAAAAACTATTCAAATATTAATTCATTAGTTTTAGTCTTTGTAAGCGTATGCCATGTTAATTAAAAACGTCCGTTGTCAGTTATTTGCATTTTAGATTTATGATCTTATTCACTTTATGTTATAAAATTGTCTATTTTTTTGTTAATACTCATTTATTTAAAAAAATCTTTTTCTTGTTTATATAAATTCTGTTTGACAGATGAATTTTTATTTTATTTTTATTGGGTAATAAAATCACTGGGAAAGCCTATGTCAGCATTTATAATTATCCAAGAACATTTTATGGAGTGGTTATCGCTATTGCTGCTTACAAGCAAATGATTTCCTTTATTTTTAGTTTTGCTAACAAAATGAGAAAAACAAAACAAGGAAATTTTGATGAAATAGCATCAGATCAAGCATTAAGAGTTAATGAAAAAACTAAAGCTATACAAGATGACGATAACAATGAAACTCATCCAGTCACCGTTGATGTAACTAATAATGAAGTAAATAAATACAGAAAAGATATGAATAAGGAAGATGACAAAAAGGCCAACGATGTAAGGCTCGTTAATCCAACTGCTTTTATAACTAATTGCTTGTTTACACTTCACTGCAAAATCGCGATCCGTCACGCCAATGAAGAGAAACGACTGGCTATTCATTCCTTTAGTAAATCATGTAAAATTGTGATGCGTAGACATTTATGAGCACAAACAACCGTTACATTTATTATTATCGTTGTTCTCATTTGTGACGCTTTCGAGGATCTGCCTATCGTGGACAAGATTTTGAAAAACTAATCAGATACGATATGTAAAATGTGGCAATGTCCGGCTAAATTTGCTAAAAATCAAAAGCTTATAAGGTACTGAGTCCAATCAGCATTGGAACTGATAAACAGTCATTTAAAATCAACCAAAACTCATCGTTTGAACATGTTTGTTTCGTGTAGATATTTTTCAGAATGTATTTCTTTTATAGTCTTTTCAACAAAGGCCAGTTTAATATCAACTCGTTAAATGTAATACGAAGTCTATTAAACATTATTGTATTAAAGGACCACAACGAGGACAACCAACTATTCAACCTGTCTAACGATACTGTCTTGGAAGGTACAAAGTTATCACCGGAAAGGGCTCAGCATACACCCACTAGAGTACGTGGGCATTAAACAGATTACAATGACTTTATAGACAGTCTGTTAACCTAGTACACAGGAGAAGATTTAGGGAACTGTTAGCTTTTGGGTCAAAGTTTAGGGGTTTGGTATATGGATTCTGAAATTGTATTGAACGAAACAAAGTGTACTATATAAAAATAATAATGTCAAAAAAACTAAATTTGAATTGAAAAATATTGTCTAAATAATTATTATAAGAAACATTACATCTTTATGCATTGTAAAAGTACCTACATGTAAATGTGCGTATAAGTAAACTCATGTCTTTAATCGATCTTATCTAGGCACCTTGAGGCACATATTAAAATCATTGGTTATAGCAATTCGAATAGTTTCTGTTGTTAAAATAGGTTGACAATATTGCAATCCTCCCCTGTTTCTACACGAGTTTGAAGTTCATATGGCTATTTATCACAAGCCGACAAGAAGATTTCAACGTTCATGACCTTACCTTCTTCAGTGAGCAAAAAAATTACCTATTCCTCACATCACTCAGCACCCTGAGGTCAAACTTCATCAAGATCAGTTACTTTTTCATTTCCTTATTGAATTACAACATTTGGAAGCTTTTTCAATCCATCTAATGCTGCTGTCATTGTTTCTTTGTTAGAGACCGCGGCAATTTAATTAATCAGGCGATCTTAAAATGTTTGTAATTTAAAATTAACCAGTCATCGGACTTTCTATCATGCGTATTTAACGGTACTTAAATGGTATATTTCTATCAATGACTTTACGATCTACTCCATGTTGATAGGATTGGCGTTGGTCACATGTAACATTTGTTAAGGTTTACATTATCATATACAGCTTTGACAGGGTTATATGATATATACATGTATGTAAGATGAATAAAAGTTTAATGTTATGTTAAACTTGTCTTTTGAATTCTACGTATATCATGTTGATCATTTAAAACTAGTAACTATTAGGAAGTTTCTCAGTGGGTAATAGATCACCATATATCGTCAAAACCAATCTCATGTATCGCATTTAGATTCTGAGTAACTATCGGTAATTCGTAACAATTTCGCAATAAATCGCCAGCATTCAAGTTTTATGGCACATCGGTCCCATTTCAACAAAGTCAGTAAGTTTTTCTCATGTCGATTCCTAGTCGCGTCCACTATGGCTAGTGTGGAGTAACGGACGACGCATGCGTCCCGCTCCTTCTGCGAACATTGCGCGCGCATTGTTTCTCGGAATCGCCACCCGCCGGACCACATAACACCGCGCTTAAGGTTCATTTTTCCTCACAAACCCGTCTCAAAGACGCCATCCCTCAATCCACTACTTTCAAGTGTATTTCCTTCCAACTATGACTTAGTAATTTCGACTTTAAGTGCTTCTAGCGAAAAGTATTGCGGGTGACAATGTGAAAACGATTTTAAACCGTATGACATAGGGTCTGAATATGTCAGATGCGTGTAAACTTGGAAGATTAATGTCCTAATGGATCGCTGTTCTGAAAGGGAGTTAGCTCGAAGTCTTTAGGAGTCAGTTTTGCTTGTGTTATGTCGACCCGAGACCACTGGCACGATCCGCGTTCTTCGGGTGACTTCCACTTTTTGCGTGAGTACATCCGCGTAGGTATAGCTCTAGCAATAATAAGGATTTTAAAATTAAACGTACTTTGTAAAGATTTGCTTACTTCATCATTCCCTGTGTTATTAAATAATTAATGTAAAGAAATGATAAATTAGAATAAAATGTTTCAAAGAGTCCCTTTACCGCAGAGGTTATTTAAACAACAACCTAATAACAGGTCTTCTTATTTTAATTTAATCTTTAAACTTATCTATTCCAGACCTCCACGGGCAGTTCTATGAGAACACGGTGGTAGTACAGTACGACAAGGACCTGCTCGAAGTATGGGATGAAGCGAAGAGATTGCGTTGCGAATGGTTCAACGACTACGAGAAGACCGCTTCCAAACCTCCCATGGTTATCGCTGATTTGGATGTTGTGCAGCTGGACTTTAGAGGTGAGGGTTTAAGATATAAAATCATATATTTATTAAATAAGTCCGTGTTTGTATTGTTCTAAAGTGCTTCAAAAATTTGATTTGAAGAGCCATATTTTCGAATCAATCTAAATTGTTTTAATCATGTCTTCTTGTTACTTAAGTAAAATCTGCAACTTATTCGTTATTTTTCAATTGATTTGCTAAAATCATTAAAAACTGTATACGCCGTCATATCAACAAAAATACATCAAAATAAAATTATCATCAACAGCCTATAAATGCCCACTGCTGAGCAAAGCCTCTTCTCGGTTAAAAGGTAAAAAGGTTTGAGCATTTATCACCACGCTGGCTCAATGCAGATTGGCGATTATAAAGGTTTCCTCACGATGTTTTCCTTCACCGTTTGTCAGTGGTGTCTAGATAATCTTAGAAAGTACATATAAATCGGAAAAAATCACATTGGTACTTGCCGTTGGTAGGTTTCGAACCCGTATCCTCATGCATAAGAAGCGGGCGTCTTAAAAATACCGTTGATAAACAAAAATAACAAAAATACTGTTGATAAATTAATGGAATTATGAAATAACTGCCCTAATCTTCTTATTAATGTCGCGGAGAACCTAACGGGTAACCGGGGCTCCGGCTCGACGTGCATGAGAAGGAACGGGGTGGTTTTTAGTGTGGTGGTACGGGGTGGTCAGTAAGAGTCTGACACTCACTCCCGCCTCACCCAGGCGGGACCGGTCATTCGATGATTTTCCCCCCTTAAAAAATCCTATTAATGAGTTCCAAACTACTATGGCTAAATGAGTCATATTTCTGTTTCTAATACTAATTTTCTTATACATAGGTGACAACGTGGACTGCTGGATGGAGATCCAAGCAGGAAAAGGTCCTTGGGCGGCTCCTGTATCCGGCATCGTCCCTTTAGGGTCCACCCTAACGCTGGTGGTCGCCATCAACGACTATCGAGGTAAATACCATATCACCATAACATCACTTTTATTGCACCTTGAGTAAACTTATAAAGGTTTAATAATCTTTATTAGTTCTAATACAAGTAATTAGTGTGTACTGCGGTTTCATTTATTATAGTGTGATAAATGTGTATAGAGTAATTTGTATTGATTGTTCGTTTTATGAACAACTGTACTATTTTGTAATTTATTTTTAGTATAATTTTGTTTTTTATTGTAGCTTAATACGTGTTAATACTACTTCATGTTTTAAGTCCTTCAAAAACATTCTAAATATAGGATCGTTTTGTTTTGTGAATATTATGGAAACAGTTAAAAGAAATAATTAACCTTTTCCGTTCGTTTATATTGTGTTTATATTCTATCCTACTTAAATATTAGGTATAATCATTATTGAATTTTCGTGGCAAGACACTTTTTAATGAGAATGGGAATCAAACACAATGTTTACTTATTACATCGTCAGGTTGAAATTCAATCCATACTACAACCTCTTTTTAAAATACATAACATAACATCACGCCTTTTATCCTCGACGGGGTAGGCTAAGGTGCACACCGAAGTAACACCCACTTTTCACTATTTATATTATAAGTCCCATGTAATAGGGAGTGAGCCTATTGCCATATACCGGGCACATTTCCAGACTCAGTGCTACTATTGAGATTTTTTTTAAAAAACCCAGTAATCATTTGTCCGACCCGGGAATCGAACCCGAGACCCCTTGCCCGGCAGTCGCACTTGCGATAACTCGGCCAACGAGGCAGTCAGAGCAGATGCCAACGAGAGTAAAATAATGTTAAAATAACATTGTAATGAAAATGCGTATCACATCTCATGTAAATATACTGTTACTCACTAACAACCATATGAGTGCGGTACTTATAATTACCCACAACTTTATAAAGGAACCGTGTTTAGAATTGCCCATTGTTTTCTTAGGAAACGCAAAAAAATCATATTATTCATCAATTTTTTTTATTACTGTCATATCTAAAGCGTGTAAGTTTACCTCATTAGATTTTTTAGTGCGTGAGACCATAAAATGAGCATATGTCCAAATATGGTTTTATAGTACCGAATTATGATGTTTATATAGAATTTTTTATTCTATGTTTGTCAAGTATACATCAAGATTATCGCCGGATGTTATTAGATATAATTTGTTGACTATTAAAAATAGTTAATTGATTGTAATTGTGATAAATTCGTATAAATATGTACTAAAGTCTGTCACAAGATGGGATTGACGTTGATATTATGAGAACGTCATGTTTTTATGTTTAGATACGATAAATTTATAGAACTATAACAAATGCATTAAGTTGACTATAAAAAGTTGTTAAGTTTACTGCCGATTGATGGCGATACACGCCACATACATAGTTACTACCACGAAATCTTTAAATGTGTAAGGCTATATCCATATTTAATTTTGGTTTAAGTTTCAAAATTTCCATTTTGGTCTGATAGGAATAATGATTCGAAATGAATGGGGTCTCGCGTTCGATTTCCGGGTCGGGTAAAGTACTACAGGGTTTTAAAAAAATCTCAGCAGTAACACGGAGTCTATTCTGCCCGGTATATGGCAATAGACTTACTCCCTATTACATGGGGCTCATAACATAAATAATAAAAAGTAGTAGTAGTAACATTATACAGTGGCATTAAGTGCTGTAATGTGCACCTCTGTCTAACCCTTCGGGGATAAAAGGCATGATTTCTTATGCAATCTATTTGTCTTGTCTTTGATCATTCTCTTCTTGTTTATCCAATTTTCTTCGCTCCTAACATTTCCTAATACAAACATTCTGTAAAACAATGTCGGCAAAGATAAAGCGTACCTAGGCCAATAAATACCACCATACAAAGTAAGTGATGATGGCAATAATAGTACCAGACGCTTCAAAGCAATCGTTTTAATTACTATTGTACAGCTGGACATGAAATAGCTAAGCCTTTTGCTAAGGTAGGCTGTTACGCTTTGAGAACGTACGGAAAAATAAATTACAAATTAAATACTAAGTACTTTATAGTGCCTGCCTCGTTGGCCGAGTGGTCGCAATTGCGACTGCCGGGTAAGGGGTCTCGGGTTCGATTCCCGGGTCGGGCAAAGTATTATTGGGTTTTTAAAAAAATCTCAGTAGTAGCACGGAGTCTGGAACTGTGCCCGATATATGGCAATAGGCTCACCCCCTATTACATGGGACTCATAACATAAATAGTGAAAAGTGGGTGTTACATTGTACAGTGGTATAATGTGCACCTCTGCCTACCCCTTCGAGGATAAAAGGCATGATGTTATGTTATTTTGTTACTTTATAGTGCTGGGAGTTAGAAAATACATACGAATGGAGTTTCTTGCTCGTTGTTCTCCATTCGAATCTACATTTTGGAATGAGCACCTAGACGGACTGACTGACAGACTATTATTTATTTTGTATTTGTTTACGTTTCAAAAGTACCAAATTATGGTTTAATTGACATTCATGCTTTGACTTTGACTTTGACTGCACTAAGAATTAGCTAAAAGTAATATTCACTAACTTCTTATTGTGTTGGTGGCACAAACCGTAATGTTTATGTCCTGCGGTAGCTTTTAAGATAATGAGGAAAATGTTTAATGACTACTTAGCGGTTGGACTACCTAAATAGAAAACTATAAGTGGCAAATAGTTGGAAAACCAAATACGTATGTACTTGGTTCTATTATAGCTTCGTATCTTCGTTTGAAAAGTTCGGAGGTCTCATTTTTTTAATTGATTCGATACGACCTTTAAGAAAAGAGCGTATTCCTTTTTTGAGGCCGGCAACGTTAAACTGTGACTCTTTTAGTGTTGCGGTTGTCCATGGGCGGCGCTGATTGCTTACCATCGGGTGGTCCGTCTGCTCTTTTGCCTCCTATGCCATAAAAATAAAATCTGGCAAAACATTTTCCAAGAATGTCTTTGTCGGAGCGGCCATTTTTCAGTAGTGGTCGTATTAATAATTAAAAAATTCATCTTAGTGAAATTTTTCATCGAAAAATATTTATAACTAGCTACTTTCGTGCGGTTTCACACGCGCTGCTCGGGTCTTATTAGTCGTAGCGTGATGTTTTATAGCCTATAGCCATCCTCGATAAATGCGCTATCTGACACAAAAAGAATTATTCAAATCAGACTTGTAGTTACGGAGATTAGCGCGTTCAAACAAACAAACAAAAAAACAAACTCTTCCGCTTTAAATAATAGTATAAGATTTGCGGAAAAAATACCTACAGGGTTTCGATTTATGAACAAAATCTTTAAACTAATGAATTTATGTGAAAAGGTAGTATTGTAATAAAACGTCAAAATCTGTGTCTTTAACGGCGATGGCATATAAAAATTTATAGATATGCAAATGTATATAACAGACAAAAATTAAAATTGATGAGTAGGGCGCTGACAATAAATAATGTCATATGACTAACAAGCAAGAGTTTGTGGTATTCTCACACGTTAAAATTTAATAGAGGAAATAGCACTAAGGTGTCACAAAAATATTAATACAAGCATCTGAGAAATTTATCATAGAAAAACATCATATTCCATATGTATAGGGTTCCATAGAGGTTCCATAAGAACATAATTTGTACCTATTAAAACTTTTTTAGAACGGTTTTTTGTTCCACCTGTTTGTTTTTTTAAATAGTAAATATTAGGTTCATATTTTAATTTATTAAAAAATAAACTTAATCCCGGGAACGCGTAAAATCGTCTCGTAGTTTCAAATTCGAAATTACATGCTTTACTTCTTTGTGAAATAACATGTTTATTGTTATTTGAAAATTAAAGATAAAGTCGTAGAAAGATGATTTATTTTTAATTATACGGAACCATTAACTCATAGTCTTGATTCACTCACATTTGATGGGAAAATTTTGTACCAGCTTCGAATACCGACCATAAATGTTTTATGTTTTCTATAAAAAAAATAACAGTGTTGTCATTTAATAAAAATGACACTTGCGCCCACGCACTCTCACTAGCAATAGCTTCGAACTTTGAACGTTAACATGAGACATTAAAAATATTATTATTTATTGATGACATTGTATGATAATTTGTTTAAGTATGCATACGGAGAAATTAATATGTTTTAACTAAACTTTTAATCCCTATTAGAGGTAAAGTTAAAACACATTAATAACACAATGTGAAAATACCCAACTATACCAATAAAAGAAGTTAAATACTAAAATAATTAAAATTTTACGAGAAGTAACTTCAACCCATTTCTATTAATAAATTACTTAGCACAGAAGAAATACAGTAAAAGGAAATAAAGTAAATACCTAGTTATATTTATTATCCATTTACAAGTTAATAATGTAATAAGACTAAACTAATCTATATACAGATATAAACTAAATAATATATAACTAGGGCTAAGAGAAATAACAACTAAAATTAACATAAAAGAAATACATAATATTTTGTATAATTTATATATTATAATTATTTTTTTTTGGAATTCTATCATGTTTACCAAACTGAAAACAAAAGACAATACTAGTGAGAGACTAATATTTAAAAAAAAAATCAACCCACGAACACCCACCCACCCAAAAATGTCCCTAAAAATTAAAGCTAATACAAAACTAAATAACAAAAGCAAACTTTAACCAGACACAAACTCGGTTTAACATGAAAACTCGTAAATTCACTAGCGGAGTAATGACAGTATTTACACGAGTAACGGTACGTTGTAATTGTAAAAAGTGAACTGGACAAATATGTACGAATGAGTTTGTTTAACGGGCTCTCGACTATGGGACACTGGTACTGGATTCCCCTCATGGATCACTTTTAAACCGAACGCGGCGACGCACGGGTTGGTTGACTGGGTGGCTTTATTTATATAGACGATATTTATTATGTTTTAGCAGGCAAAGTTATTAACACGTTGAATAACGAATTAATTAATCATAGTTATTATTGATTATATACATTTTTGTAGACACTGTCTCGACCGTCTAGTGAATATTTTTTTTGCTTTCATACAAACCTGTATTTAAACCTGGCTTTACCTGACATATAAAATAATAATAAAAAAATTAAACGGACAGTGAAAGAATAGAATCCTATTCAAAAATTAATTGCAAGGCATTCAAGTTGTATTTACTGTAGTACCATACAGTACAAAAAACCATTAAGAAGTTATTGGAAGTAATAAATTTTTCAATTATAACCGAAGAAAATCTGCAAAAGAAAATAAATTTTAAACGTACCTCAATCTTTAAATGGCGTCGATGTATACCTAGATAATATTATATCCTTCTTTTAGTTTATTTTACCTCATATGGCCGTAACGAATAGGACAAAGGTTAACTAGACAGATGCCGGGACACCACTCTGCATAAGTGGCCACCTACGTATGCATATCGTAGCCAACTAACCGTTCACGACTGTAACTTTGAATAGTTTACCCGTTATAACTTCTCTTTATTTCATTTTTTACTATTGTTTTTTCTTCTGTCATTTTTACTTTGGTGTAGAAAAAGATACTGAGTTTTAGCACTTATCCTTGCAATAGGGTAGATGCATAATTTTTATTTTAATGTCCGTCTGGTAGGCCATTTTAAATCATTAGACACGTAGTTTTTATTTTCTTACAGAAACGAATACAATCGACGATGTATTGATTTGAAATGTCACGGGACGTCATTTCTATGTACAATTTATACGTAGAAATGACGTTTTAGCCCCCACTCCTAAACTTTGATTCGTTTTATATAAGTATTGTTTTATTATACGACAAATTAAAAAAATCGTGTCTAATATTTTTTCATTACCTAACTGACGGTCTAATTAGATCTTTAATTTTCATACCCTGTCATAATCCCAATTTAAGATAGTAAATATAAAATGTAATCAGGCATCCTTGCGGTACTCTGGTTCGATCGAATTACATTATACTGTTTGAATGACTTTCTGGCTGACACTACTTTTTGACATTGTATTAATGTAGATCATAATAATAATTACTCACTCGACACTGGCAGTATAATCGACAACATCGTATTGGAGACTCGGTTGGCAAAGGAAAAAAAAATATTTACTTATAAATTTTGTCATTTTTAGTATGAATTGCAATTATTACAAAATTTAATTTGTACGCGTCTAAGGGCAAAACATGTATTGGGCATTTGTTTTTTTTTGTTTTTGTTTATATAAAACGGCATTGATTTTAAACAGTGTACATCTCGCATGCTTTTGTATGAATAACACATGTTTATGCAAATATCTTTATTAATTCTACCACTTGACTGCCTCGTTGGCCGAGTGGTCGCAAGTGCGACTACCGGGCAAGGGGTCTCGGGTTCGATTCCCGGGTCGGGCAAAGTATTACAAAGTATCGGGTTTAAAAAAAAATCTCGTTAGTAGCACGGAGTCTGGTAATGTGCCCGGTATATATGGCAATAGGCTTACCCCCTATTACATGGGACTCATAACATAAATAGTGAAAAGTAGGTGTTACTTCTGTGTGCACCTCTGCCTACTCCGTTGGAGATAGAAGGCGAGATGTTATGTTATGTTATGTAATTCTACCACAGTTTAAAATGAGATATAGATTAAAACAACAAATATGAATTGTGGTCCGGATCGAAAGTTTCCAGCCACTGCACTAACCACTTCTATCGATTCAAGGTTTTAATTCCAACATTAACTATTTGCTTAAGCCTTCTCATCTATCCGCAATCCCGAAGAACAATACTAATACCACAATACAAATCCATTAATTTTGTTTCAATTGAATCAATAGCATTTCTCATTCGTGCGTTATGAGTTCTTTTATTTAATTGACAATGATTAATGTTCTTAATGTCAGTGATCTTGTGCCAGGATTTAATAAGCTGCGTGTGAGGCTTTTAAATCTTTTGTTGTAGCGAAAATTGAATCTTTAAGTTTGCCGACTGCTGAGTTGCTGGCCTGCTGTGTTGGTTTTGTAGTATAGCTTTTACCCGCGGCTTCGCTCGCGTCACAAAAGGATAAAAAGTAGCCTATGTGACATATACCAATACACACAGCGCCATCTATACCAATAATTTCATTTTCCCTCAAGAATATCAAATTTTTCCGGGATAAAAAGTACCCTATTATTTAATCCGGACTTCTAACTTTACGTCTGCAAAAATTCAAAGCATTCGGTTTAGTAGTTACGGCGCGAAAGTGGAACAAACAAACAAACACACTTAGCGATTTATAATATTAGTAAGGATGTAGCTAGTGAACAAAGAACATTAAATAAACTTTACAGAAATTCGGGTTATAACGAGTTGTGTAGAAAACTAAAGTTGTTATTTTATTTTTTCATTGCCTTAATATTCTAATGCACACTTTGGCACTTATTATTATATACCCGGACGTACAAGAGAATCATCTTCACTTTATTTGCGGTCGTTTATATAGATGCTAGACTGTCTAAAACTTTCATAAAATACCTAAAATCGTGACATCGTACCACAGATATTTGTTTTTTTTTTATTCTACATCTCATTTAAGTGCAAAAATATGGTTTAACAATATATTTATGAAGATTTAAGCTCAATTCTCAAATGGCCATCGTCTATAAGGAATTCCATTCTCGTGACCTTTGGATATCTTAGTCAGTTAGTGAACCAGCATCACAAATGACATCAATGCTACCACTAAATGTCAAATTTTCATGTGGAGCAACTACACCTGCCGTGTATAATAATTAAGTAGTACCTTACCCAGGTAAGGGTTTTGAAGTCAATATCTTTGTTTTATACAGTTAACCATTTTGATGAATAGAATTTAAAATCAAATTTGGTAAGAGACTCATAACATAACATGAATGACTTCACGCCTTTTATCCCCGAAGGGGTAAGCATGCAGGTAGAGGTGCACATTACGGCTCCTAATACCACTGTACAATGTAGTAGGGGGTGAGCCTTTTTTCATTTACCGGGCACATTTTCAGAGTCCGTGCTACTACTGACATTTTAAAAACACTCAGTAATACTTTGCCCGACTCGGGCATCGAACGCGAGACCCCTTGACCGGGAGTCATAATTGCGACCACTCGATCAATGAGGCTGTCGACATAAAGTGCATAATAACCTTCTAGGAATACAAAACTTTAATTAAAATAATTACTATCTCCAGACTTCAAGCTAAGCGACATCACCATAATAAACTCTGTCTGTCAAGAACATTTCTGGAAATATGTACATATTTCTCGTAGCAAGACGTGACAAGGTGCGGTTTGGGCACGCGCTAAGCTTTCTTCGTTTAATGGACTATCTATTGACACACCCAAGTGTTTGCTCATCCTTTAAGTTAAGCGATTTCTGTTTATACACGATGTTTAGTTTCCACTTAAGTGTAATAATATTGGGAACTATTGTGTTTGTCGTCTTGTATGAGTGTTGGATTATTGTATTGTTATAGTCCTTCAAAACGGGATGAGTATAAGTACCTACTTGTTAGGTTTAGTATTTGTTTGGGTATACCGTAGGACTTTCATACTTAGGCGTATGAGATTGCTTCCTTGTTCAATAACTTTGAAGTGTTACTTGTTATATCTGTCACACGTTTGTGTTTTAATAGAAAAAAATCAAACTTAGTTATTAGATTAGATACTCTCGGGTCATTATCGTCATCTCTAGTCGCGGAGAACCTAACGGGTAACCGGGGCTCCGGCTCGACGTGCAGGAGAAGGAACGGGGTGGTTTTTAGTCAGCAAGAGTCTGACACTCCCTCCCGCCTCACCCAGGCGGGAGCAGTCATTCGATGATTTTCCCCTTAAAAAAAAAAAAATAAAAAAAAAATCGTCATCTCTATCTATCTCTCCACTACTTTTGTATAGTCATAGTGTGTCATTCATTAATGAAAACATTCACAATAACTAGATGAAGATTCCGATACAACAAGATACCAACACCGATTAATCACTTTCAAACACATCTAGGTAACCAACTAAACACTACTAAGGATTGGTTTTCTTATCTTCCAGGTGAATTCGACATGCGAGTGAAGTCATGTGCTGCGTCAGATGGCTCAGGCCATGTGATTCAGCTGTCAGATGAATATGGATGCGTGCTACGACCCAAGATGATATCACGGTAAGACGCTAATGTATGAAGTTCTTATCTACATCTAGCTTCCATCTATACAACTTTGGAAAGCTAGCAAAGGCCTTAGACAAGTTGACTTGGAAAATTATGGATAGGACAAAATTGTATTAATTTAGTTGCCTTGTTAGTTTCCCTGACTGAGAAAATTATGTTCAATGGCAGCTTTTTTTGTAATTGTAATGGTACTTCCTATATGTAGGAAACAGTATCGAGAAGTCAAAATGTTTCTCTAACTTGAGAAATTCGCACTTTGTCGTTTTATAAACGCTTTTACGAATATATTATTATACTAAACTAAATGTACTTAGTCACCCAGCCACTGTCCTTGTGGTTCAGTACTGGACGAAAAACATCAAAGCAAGTTTTATTTAAAACCTCTAATTTAATATTTATGTATCATTTCCAGGTTCCTCAAAGCCAAAGCGGTAGATGAGAGAGCAACAGTCATCACCTACGCTTTCTTCCATGCCTTCAAATTCCCTGATGCTCTAAGCGTCCACATCAGGTGTAAGGTTGAGATCTGCAGACATGGCTGCCTGGACCATTGTCAACTGGCTGGTGTAACTCCTCAAAGACATGCTGCATTGGACAGAAAAGATGATAGAACACACCAGGACCATAATGAGATCAAGTAAGTTTGGTTGTTACTATGATAAGTATAGTGAATATCAAGCAAGACCTGTATATTGATTCTTTTTCGAATAAAATTGGAGACTCCGTGTCACCAAAAATTATTAACATTGAAAAACCTGACAGTATTTTAAACGAATAGGTAGTCGAGCCAAAAAACACTATGCTTGAATTATACTTTCGTAGGACGAATTATGGTATAAAAGCAATTAAAGTAAACATTTATTTGTAGGGTAACGTTACTGTAAACTAATAATGAAATAGTTACCGTTATATTACAAGAAAGTGATATTCATTTAAATAGGTATGATTTATGAACATAAATCATGATAGAACTGAACATGATAAAATGTCAGTGTTACAGTAAATACAGAATAATTTATATTCTTTAGAAATTTACGACGTTACTATAACAAACTTCCAAAGCGTTAATGAAAATAAATCAAATTCACTGGAAATAAATTACAAAGGACAATAAATCAAATTAAATATAGTAACCATTTTGTCGTTATTATTATACCTCTAGATCCCACAATAATAGACGTTGTGCCTATGGCTGTACGCTCCGCCGTAAAATAGAACTTGAAATCTCGCAATAACCATCTTTACTTCTTTACTAATATTATAAATCGGAAAGTGAGTTTGTTTGTTTGTTCCGCTTTCACGCCATAACTACTAAACCGATTGCTTTGAATTTTTGCAGACGTAAAGTTGGAAGTCCAGATTAAATAATAGGGTACTTTTTATCCCGGAAGGATTTGATATTCCCGAGGGGAAAAAGTATTGGTACAGATGGCGCTGTGTGTATTGGTATATGTCACATAGGCTACTTTTGTGATGCGAGCGAAGCCGCGGGTAAAAGCTAGTTCCTGATAATTGAGGCAGTTAACATCAATCAATATCAATAATGCAACCTGCAACATTGTGCATGGAAACCCCTCCGACTGCACTAGACAGTAAACTTTGATTAAAATCAACAACAATGATTTATTCACAGTGACTCATCAGCTGAAGACGGCGGTTTATCAGATCTGTCAGAGGAAGCCCGTCTTCCACTAGAAGAAGCCTTCGGTGATGAAGTATCTGGCGATGTTGTTTTGGCTCCAGCTCCACTACCACAAAGAGCACCAGCACCTGTTATCGAACCTGAAACAGATCACATGTCTGCTGTTGAAGAACTAGTTGAGGCTCTTGCTAGGCCTTTCACTGTAAGTATTTTAAAGTTTTCTCCTTACTTTTTCACAAATTTATTGGCGTTGAAGTCTTAAATAGTTTTTCAGGCTTAAAACGGTCTAATAAATGTAATGTGTTTTTACTATTTCCAGGATCGTCCAACGAACATTGACCGAGAACGTTTCCCTCATGGACCTCGTAACCTTGGCACTAACATGAGTCCCGAACCTTCTGGCGATGGAGTAGTTCCAGCCAAGGCACCAGGCCCAGCCGTAGCTGGTCCTAGGTCTCTTCGTAAACGACGAACCGTTCGAGACGCTAGGTCTGCTGATGTTGGTGTTTCGGGAATATACGAAGTAGTCTCCGAAGCTGATTTGGCTTTTGGCCCATCAAGAACTGAACCTGTTACTGTGTTTAGTGGACGGATTCGTGAAGAGGTAACGTTCTATAATCAAATATTTGAATTTTATTAATTATGAACCAAATATACATAAATTTAATCATACGTTTTTGCCAGGTTGTCTACGGAATTTGCATGGGTGCTGTTAGCTTCGGCGCCCTGTTTGCTTCGGCCGCTGGAGCTGCAGCGGGTGCGGCATTGGCTGCAGCAGTTTTGCTCCAGAAACTTCGTTCACGGATGGCAGTCCAACCTCCAATCCCAGTATCTCCGGCACCAGCTTCGCACTCTCTAGCCGCGTGGATGGCTCTCAGACTCCTCGGCTCACAACCCCATCCACACCACTCCCGTGATGGTTGACCCATCACCCCAACCACAATCCTACCGAAGACTGTTCTTAGATGCTAAATATTCGAATTATATTTCTTCTCCCATTCATTTTATAGTATGTTGTAGTAATTCCTTCTTCCCTATGTGTATAATATTGAAGAAATAATATTTTCTTCCAGTTAGAGTTAGCTACCTGATAAAATTTAGTTTAGTGCCCTTAATTGGAATTAAAAGGTCAGTTGCATCCATGTATTAGATGTTAGACTCGCAGAAAATTATTTAAAATATGCTTATAATTTATGTTAGTTGTTAAGTGATGTTTCTAGATCGCCTTAAATAATGGTGCTAGGTCGTGCTACGGACGAAGTCCTAAGAAACCTGATATTTTGAATGTTTCACTCGTGTGAATATTATACATTTTTTACCGATAAGTTTGTACAGATTTTTTTCTATATTATTATTGACTAACTTATTATCATTGTCGTGTTCTTTAGTGTCTATAGGATAAGTATAAACGTCGAGTCATGCCATTAGCGTAAGGTTTAGTTAATTCGTACGATTTCGAGTTTCATGTACTTAGCACAATTTACGAATAGTGTGAGATGAGGCCAAATTAATATTGATTTCGATTATTTTGGAATCGATGTTATTTGCAACATTATCTTTAGGTACTGAAACCTCTGAGGCTTTAGGCATACTACAGTAGTAGGTACCTGCTCAATATTAGCTATTCATTTATTTATTGCTTAATTTTATTTGGCAAATAATTTTAACATTAAAATACTTAATTTGTTTTCAATTGACATACATATTCAGCGTACTATCTTCACATATTATTAACGTTTCTTTCATTTAATTCAAAATAATAATTACGCCGGTAGGTAACTTTAACATTATTCGAACATTATTTTAAATTAAATGAATATTATCATGCTAACGAAAATAATATTATGCCAACTAATGTGCTTTACATTTTAGTATATTTGTATACGTAGTTTTAGATATTTTTAAATTTAGACCAACATAGACAGTGAAATACAGAAATATAGAGTTATAAATAAACTTAACCCATATTTTTATACTACTTTATAAAGAAGTTGGTTAAATTGTTCATATTAAGTACATTTAGTACATGCATGGTGTAAACGAAACGTTCCCGAAAAACGCTTACAAAAATGGATTATACAATTTTAATCGTTTTGGTTTTCATGTTATTCATGCAACATCAGACTTGAGCAATTGATTACAGCTATTAATACAGAAAACAAAACATAATATAGATCTTACTTTTATAAAAATAAAACTTGTTTTTGACCATCACCTGTCGGCGTTTCTCAGAAGCGTACCGTTAACACTCTATATTTTTATATCATTGTATAGAAAGAAAATATTTCAAATTTAGAATTATTAAAATACTGTATCATACAATTATTTTTCAGACACCAATGAGTTCTAAGTAATAGATTAATTCATTTCAAATGAAAAAAAAGAATTGCATTTATTTAAGCATTTATTTTTATACTGCTCAATATTAAATGTAACAATTTTATAGCTATAAATAGGTAGGCTTAATTTAGTTTTACTAGCTAGATTCATAAATGGTTTTTGAGATCGACAACATATTTCATCAATATTTTTATAGCCCTATAGCCCTATTATACATACATAGAGAATAGTGGCTGTTACATTATACAGTGGCATTAAGTGCTGTAATGTACATCTTTGCCTATCCGTTCGGGGGTAAAAGGCGTGATGGTATGTTATATTTTTGTAACCGAATAATTTTTTATTTTTGATTAAAAGAAAGATTCCAGCATTTCGGCTTTGTACCATTGCCATAACCAATGACTTGAATGAAATGTCGAAAGTTTTAACATAGCAAAATTGAAAACATATAAAATCTTCTAATCTTATGATAACTTGTTCCGATATTATTAAAAAAGAATAAAACAGTTACTTAACCCTATTCAAGTTCGTCGATCTCTGAACCGAAATAAAAGTAATAATTACGACATGCCACCCAAAAATCTTGCATTTATTATAGAAAAACTATTATTATTTAAGTCGAATAGAGTTTTCATATGAAAACTATCTTCCTAAGTGCAATTTTATTTTTTATTATTTAAATAATTGTATTTATATATACGAAATATTTTATTGTAACATCACTGGTTAGATGAGATGAATAATTCTTATTTACTTCTACCTATCCCCTTGTAGGGGATGTTATGTTACATTTTCTACGGTTATGGTGTATGGTGTATCTTGTGGCAGTAATTCTTTTATAAATAATATTCTGGGGAGTACTTTATAAATAAATGTATGAACAAAATGTTTTAAGTTTCACTGTATGGATGCGGTGACGATGTGTTTGTCGCGTAAGCACCTGTTAATTTGTTTAATGGATTAAAAATTATGTTGAAACATATTTTTCTTTGTTTTTTTTCATCATCTATATTTCTTATCATTTGTGTATCTTATACAATCAGACACGGTTTACTGAACCTAACCCTTATGCCTCCTACGATTGTAAAGCAATAAGGCTTCGAGGTTTCAAGGTAGTGCATCATTGCTCTTTTTCTGTTACTAACCGACTACAAAAAAAAATAAAATCTCAGTTTGACCTGTATGTATGTTTGTGTGAGATTATCTCGCGATTTGCTTATTTTTTTTATTTATTAAACTGTCAAACACCAAGCGATCACCGGTGACCGCGACCTATTGTTCTTTAATTGTGTCTATAAAACCGGTACTCGACGAGTTAAACTTTATTGCACATATAGTGAAATTGGCGGACTTAATGCCGTAGGCATTTTCTAACAGTCAACCATTGGGTGGTGCAGAATGTTAAAGCGGTAGATACAAAATTATAGAAAAGAGAATATACCTAAAGGAGATGATAACGAAGTTAAACCTAAATATGCATACATATAATATGATATAAGTACTATATAACTGATTTTGATGCGGATTTCAGAAATGTGATTGTTAAGAGGGAAGTCGGTTTTTTAAAACGCAGTTTATAAAAGAATTATTCTGGTATTTTCTTTTACATTATCAGTTAAACGCCAACACCTTATGAAGACATCCACTATAGGACTTTGAGTATCTACTGCATAAGTACATAATAATATGCTAGGATGAAGATCGCTATTTAAAAGATTCAGGTCATTCAGGTTTATCATAGTGCTGTTATCCAGCCTGTGTATGTATAATGTCTTAATTGTAGATGGCTCTGAAGCCACCATATTACTATTCAACTTAAAACGTCACATTATTAACTGTATTTAGATTTATTTCATAGGAAATCCTGTGAAAAATGTCTTTTCTTTATACTCACACTTCATCATCTCATTATGTAGGCACTGAGATAGGTATTCTTTTCATGCTTTCAAGGTTTTATTGTTTATTTTTATTAATTAATTAATTTTATGGTTTACATTGTATAATTTTACTAATACGATGTAGGTATAATCTACGAGAGTTAGGCAAAACATCTCCAAGTTTGTTGAAAAAATCCCGTAGATGAAAGAAAATTTATTATTTTGGTCTGGTCGAACATTACGAATATTTTATGGATTTTATGCAGTCGATGAATTATTTTATTAGAGCACAGAAACTGTCATAGCCTATTATACTGATAAATTAATAAATTTATAGATACCGTCATGATGTGTATACACTGAAGTATTTTTCTAGTATGTAGGTAGCTATTGTTTAGATATAGGTAAGTATTTATTAGTCATTTACGATTTGAAATTGCGTGATAATAAACTTGTTCTTTATTCCAATGAAATCTATAAGCTATATAGTTAATCTAGTAGCTGGTGGGTACTACGAGTTAGTACATTTCGTAGCATTAAATCAAAAAACAGAACTATCTGTTTCCGAATTCATCTTTCATGTATTTATATTTATGTTAAGTTTTATACATTTTGTAATTGCATAGTTGAATTACACCATTATTACTTTTATTAGGTATCCTCTTTAAAGGAAGACGACTTTGAACTTTAAAATAACTGATAATACGCCAGTTTTTGTAATTTATTCAAAAGTTGGTTAATGTAGCACATATCACCGTTTTTTATTCAAAATGAATCGAATGGTATACAGTTATTTATCAATTCTATATAAAAGCATTTTATTTTAATATCCATATTTATATTTGCAGAAATAAAACAACAACATCCGTGATAAAAGTTTAATTTTCCAAATGTATCGTTACAACATTCATTTCATAAAGTCATCAAACATTCGATGTGGTACAACCTCAATTTAAATTATTCAACTCGTTTATAAAATTATAATAAAATGAAACATTTAATTCCATTGTAACAATTAATAAACCTTTATAATAATCATAATGCGAAGAAAAACAATAAAATAAGAAGAAGAGGTACTCAGGTGGTATAAAATAAATAAATCGCTATACGTACTCGTAATAATGACTAAGACTTAATTAACAATAAATATATTAATACTAATGACAAGTTATTTTAAATTACATTCTAGCGGTTCACCTAAGTTGATATTCCGTATGATTCATTTTCCGTTGCCTCTACTTCGAATGGACCTTCGAGAAGAGGTAACAGAAGATTGTACTTACAATATTTTAATACTACATTTTGTGTTTATAATTTGTTCTAACGTCGCATAAACAACTAAGAAAACATACAACAGGTTAACTCAACAGTTGATGTCAACAAAGATGTAACAAACACGGCTGAATTAAATGTCAATTCAACCAACATGTGAAATAGGAATCAATACGATTTAACTGAAGTTCAACGGACTGTCAAGTTACACATACATTGAATTAATACTAAATAAGGGTTCCCAGATTAACTAAATTCATTTGAGCACTCGTACAACACGCAAATAAATAATTGGCATGGTCTATATACTTCAGTCTCATCACACTAATATGTACAAATTAGATTATACACGCTCTGTTACGAGTAGAAGCGGCTCTTTGAAATTACATGCGCGGTCGGTGGGTGCGGCCGGGCTATCGTCGTCACTGCAGCCGTCTTCTTCTTCAGAGTCGAAATTGGCCGTAACTTTAAGAACAAAACTGCTGACACTGCGCAAGAACATAATAACGTAGCGAGAAGAGCTCCTAATGTCGCTGCAAATCCAGGTGTGGTCATACAAACAAGACCGGGCGTAGGAATCACTCTAGGAGCTGCGCTTTCTTCTGAAGTGTCCATATTTAAGTCGCCAGCGGACACTACACGAATCACTCTGTTTACACCGACTTCTTTCTCAGGTGATGTTGCTCGTCGTTGTCTCCTCACTCTCCTCTCATCACGTCTGGCTTCAATACCCACTTGTTGGTAAGCATCAATCTGTGGTGGTCCATACTCGGCATGAGGAGCGATCACATTGGGATTTCCATCTGAACACTGTTCTGGGCATCTGTATCTACAAATCTGAATAGTACACTGGAAGTGTACTTCCATTGAGTCGGGGAACTTGAACGCCTGGAAGTGAGCATATGACAATACGCTAGCGCTGGCTCCGAAGTTTTTGATCTTCGTGAATCTTGACATTAGTTTCGGTCGGGTAACACAGCCTCGCCTATCGACTAGTTGTATAGGAGCGCGTTGACCGTCGTGAGCAACACAATCTCGAACTAACATATCGAACTTTGCATCATCGTCCTTGATTGCGAGTACCATTGTCATAGTCTGTCCGATCTTCACCAGACCAGATACTTCGGAAGCCCAAGGTCCTTTGCCGACCTGGATTTGCATCCAGCAACCAACATTGTCACCAGCAAAGTCAGCTCGCACAACATCCAGCATATCAACGGGGAATGGTCGGAAAGTGACTGCCTTTTCGTATTGGTCGTGCCATGTGCACCTTAGCTTTCTAGCTTGATCCCATACTTCCTGCACTTGTGGGTCGTATTGAATAACAATTACGTTTTCGAAATAGGTTCCAGCTGCCGCCACGTCTCCTCTATACCTCGGGTCTCCGCTGCCAGCAGTTCCACAAGCATGGGCGCCTAATTTCGAATGAAGCGGATGTCCTACCTAGGTTGGGTGGGAGATGCACGCACTGATGGTTGGAGTAGTGTCCCTTGGAGAATACAATACCAAAGAATGGTTTGTCAAAACTGAGGAAGACTCTCATTGCGTTCTTCTCACACTTCACGTCTAATGACACGATCTTCGGCATATCGGGAGCAGGTGCTGGCCAGACATCACCAGCTCCACTGAAAACCTTGTCGCTAGCTGCGGTTTGTGCATCGGCGGGAGGTGCTGGAGGTGGTGGTGGCCCTCGGAAGCCAGGGCCGACGTCGTTTTTGTGGTGGTTCACTGGAGGTCCCAAAGCAAATGGCTTTGAATGGATCTGATGATGATTCGGGATTCTCGGCATGCCTGAAATGTTATACAAGTTCTGATTAATTTATTGCATACTGTACTGATATTAAACTTTTAAAATAAATAATTTGATTTGCAATAGTTAGACTTTTGCTTTGATCTTTCAATTATGTAATTAAAAATAATTATTCTTACCTAACGGGTGATGTGCCTGATGATGAGGTGGGTTTTGACGGCGATTGTGTGGTGGGGGTGCAGGTGGAGGAGGTCCATTGTACGCGTGGCTTGGGGTGTCTCGTTCTGAAGATTCCATTGCTAGCTGATCGCTTGAAGGCTCAGCAGCACTGCTGGTATCAGATCCAGCACCTCCACCGCCACCGCCGCTCTCGTTCGATGATTGGTCACTGAGAGTGCCACTCTGAAAATTTAAAAAGCAGAAATTATTACGATGTCGGTTTAAGAATCTTTAACAGTTTCATTTATTTTTGTTTATAGGTTTGTTGTTCATCATCATGCTCTCATTGTGAACGATTTTCTTTATCTATAGGTAGGTAGTTGTTTCTATTATCACGTGATATAGAAGTGTGAAATTTTAGTTATAATTTTTGGGAGTATCACTTTTCATTTCGACCTAAATAGAAGTAACCGTAACGAAACCACTAAACGTGTTAACCATGACAAGTATACGAACTTCTCAAATCTCATAACTTATACAGGCATGGAAATTTTCTTGTTTTTTTGTTGTTCACGCCCAGCTTTCACTATGCTACGTAGGCTTTATTTTAAAATGTTATTTAATACGACACACTGACCGTTTTACGACACATCAAAGGTTATGTGACAAGTTAAATAGTTGTTCGAGGTCATGAACAAAGAAAAGCAGATGATTGCGCATTTTACAAACACAGCGGATATAAATTGGAAGACCTTTAAAATGATAATGTTGGACTGTTCAATGGATACTCGTTTCACCGACAGAATGTTTTGGGATTTATTACAACTCATCAAAATTTAAAGGCCAGTTTATTTAAATTTAAAACGATTAAGGATTAAAAAGAGAGATTACGCCATTGTATCAGACCGGTTGTTCCCTTTCATTACTTTCGCTAGCATAAATAAAGCCACTTTAGTTATTAATTGGCAACTTCCTCAATTATAATACTCAAACATCGATTGCTCATAAACTTGTAACAGCTTAGCGTATCAGAACTTAAGTAATACAACTTCCTGGGTCCACGAATAGTAACACGTGAAAGTTGTACCATAATGGTTCCCGTTCTTAAATCATCGGGTCGCTCCGGTTTTCAAATATTTTCCGTACCAACAGGTTTCCGAAATTAGACAAACCGGCTACACGGAATTTCTCATGTTAATTGTAATTTTTAGACTGTTATTTTATTTAGGCGGCTTTTAGATTTTTTGGTATCTAGGTTGTATATTTTAGCCATATTTAATTTCAAAACATGTAGACGAGATTAGACTGGTTGGCGCCATAATCTCGTTTTAGTAAAGAACCATTCTATGCTTACAGATTTCAAATATTTTATTTGGATTCGGTATGTACAATTCAAAATCTTCCTTTAACATACACCGTCCCAATTTTAATATCAAATTCATATAACAGAATTAAATGGCTTTCTTACTATCCTGGTTGCTAAAAGTAATATTGAATAGCACTTTAAAATTAATATCAAAATTAATCGTAGCCAAGAGATTATATTTCTCATCACATCTGTCCTCAATATTGATAGCGATGCTATTAATGTTGTGAATAGTGGGTGTCGCGGCAGTGGCCACCATTTTATTGGTTGGATCGTCAACAGCCTTACAACTCTCATTTGTTTCGCCTCTGGCAATGAAATTAGAAAGTATTGGTCTGTTAGATACGTTTTTCGATAAAGATTTATTCGAGGGCTTATGCCTTGAAGTGATTCCAGCAATTATTACTGAATGGGATAACACGGATATTCGTGTAATAGATTGATTGTGTTACGTAATGCTGGGAGAAAGTTTGTGAAGGAATTTTATTGGGTTATAGATAGGGACGTGTGTGGTAAGCTTGTTATAATGTTGTAAATGTAGGGAACTTCATTTTATTGGTTTATCTCCATCATGTCACTTGAAGTGATAGGTGAGTCATGATTCATCACTGCTATCTCGTTTTTGTTGGTAGATTTTTTGTCCTCGTGTCCACTGTTTTTGTTATCATGTCCAATGAATCATATCTGTTGGAAAATTGACTAGGATGAAATCAATGTTTCAAAATTATTCTCAATTTATTCTATCATTCTGATCATCCTATCGTTTGATACTATTTTTACTGTACCTACTGCAAGTAATTGTTAAAAGGGTATGCGAAACGTATTATTTTATTTGTGAAACACATCTTTCAGTAAGGATGTACTCAATCGAATTGCGTATAGGTACACAGACTTGTATTAGTATTATTGTATTACAAATGAAAGATACAGAATTTGTTCCAAAATCGTAAAAATATCTACGAAATGATATCATTCTAGTTTCATGATATTATTCCTAAAACTACCTCTATTTACCGATACATACAATGTATCTATAAGATATACATATAATAAAATAGGAAGGTAAAAACTGTACATTGAATATATTTTCAAGAGAATACCTAATCTACAATCGATATCGAAACCAAAAATATAGTTTTAAATTTTTGTCTATTTGTCTGTGTGTCTGTATGTATGTCCGTGCTAAACTTAAAAAGTACTGGACTAACAGGTTGGGTCATATAGGCTACATATTCTCCCGCTATCACCTATGGGGGAGGAGCTGTGAAGAACTATCTAAAGTCACTATTCCACGCGGACGAAGTCGCGAGCATCTACTAGTTATTACTACAATCTTGTTGTCGGATACAATAAATAAATCCTGGAAATAAAATCGTTTACAAAGACTACCATTTATCTTGGAACCAATCTTTTGCGACGTATAAAGATTTAGACTTGTAGGATATTTCGGATATTGCCTGTACACTATTTTCGATAAAATAGGAATATTGTTATCAATTTCTTTCCTTTTGTAAAAACTAAGAGAAGATTTTTGTTGCTATAAGATGTTTAACTAAAAAGCGCGGGATACTCACGTGAATATACTGAGATAAGCTCTACTAGTTTCGAACCACAGAGGGGTTCTTCCTCATAAGCACCGTGCGCGGTCGCGGAGATGTCGCGCAGCCTACTTTTTTAGTTATATTATAATATACTCATTTATCTAATTTAGTATGTCTCACGATAGTTATTATAAAAACGATAAGATAAGAAGGAAAAACGCCTAAGTAGTCGTGTAAAAATATGTAAACGATATAATTTAATGTAAAAATTGCATTCCATTGAAAATGTTAAAAAATCATAAAAGTATTTTAAGATTTCATCATCATCATCAATAGTCTATAAGTGCCCACTGCTGAGCAAAGCCTCTTCTCACACGGACAAGGTTTGAGCATTAATCACCACGCTTGTTCATTGCGCTTTGGCGATTTCAAACTTACAACAAGAAATTATAAGTTCAGGTTTCCTCACGATGTTATCCTTAAATAATCTTAGAAAATACATATATGTAACTTGGAAACAGTCACATTGGTACTTGCCGTTGATAGTTTTTAAACCCGCACTCCATTTTTGCCACCACGACATTAATTAAGATTTGGAAGGTCAAAAATTAAAAGTATGTAAAAGAATAAGATGAAAGACAATGTCATTGCTCCCAGCCCGCATAACTACATTTTTATATTTGTAAATAAACAAAACAATAAAGGAGAAATAGTTCCAAGAAAAATCCATAAGTTCCATGTTCCATACAAGGCATTGTGAATCAGGTCTACCTAGGCGCGCCGAGTGCAGTGTGTCAGCGCGGTCAATGAACTCCATCGGACAAATTTTACTTTCATTAAATACCTGAAGATCTCCGGTAGCTAAGACATGGTGTGCTGATCTGATTAGCCGTTTTGTTGAAAATGTGCTTTGTTGTTAAGTAAATAGAGGTTAAGTTAGGATGTTCTTGAGATGGGTATTATATAGGAGGATCTTCACTTTGATTTGACGTCTTCTTTTAATTAATTTACTTAGTGTTGAATTTTTAAAAAATATTTTAAGACGTGTTTCTAAATATTATGAAAAAAACATAATAACTTCTATTCTATCATCTATTTAGCTTATGTAGCTATCTGGGAATGCAAATAACCAATATTTAACAAATTCAAATATTATATCAAAAATAATTCACTTGATCAAAATCAGGTAACGTTTCAATCTGTGTAAACAACAAAGAAATAATTATGAAATGAGACAATGACGAATCTGCCTAAGGGCCGATTTTTAAACAACAGTTATATAATTCCTAACTTTAGAATAAAATATTCAACGGTATTCCTCGGTCAAAATTTATCTGATGTTGAAAATCGACTCTAAATTTAAAACATAGCAGACAAACATAGCCTTTAAAACAGACAGAATAGTAATAGTCAGACAATCGTCAATTGTCAGACAGAAGATGCCCATTCTGCTCTATTTCCAACACCGCCTCAAAAATCAATTCAACTATGCGTCCAACAGTCAGTCACTAGTCACTAACACCTCTAGGGTGAAACACACAATTGTCGTCCGTCCGTAGCAGAAGTGAGCAGGATTTCCAGTCCAATGTGTGTCGTCGCTGTAGGTCGCACAACGACCGACTGGGAAAGCCAGCTTTTACTCTTTCCACGACACCTGCCTATTGTCATAAACTGTCATTGCTAGTGCGCATTTCATTAGGTTTGAAATGACCTGGAGGGAACGTTTGACCCTTTTAGAGACATTTTTTTATAAACTCGAATAATATTACTAAGTGGTTTCTTTGTTTGTTTGTTTATGTTGAGGTAACTTTGCAACTGCTGGATCGATAAGAAAAAGTTTGTCAACAAGAGAAAACTTTTTAGGGAGCTAAGGTATTTTTTATCCTGTTTTTTTTATAAAGTTGGCATAACACAAATGGATAATTTCAAATATTATTTTTAGAACACAAACTTTTGTTTTTTATTTTTTTGACCTACATCTGATTTTTTCAATATTTGCGTTTAAAAGTCAATAAGCTACGGCTCATTGTAATATGTTAGCATCCAATTAGAACAAAACATATATTAGCACTTAGCTCGACGATGTCAACCTAACAAATGGCGAATTATGCTAAATATTTTGAGCGCTAATGCTAATATAAGTAGGTGTTAGCATAAATTAGTTAAGATACCAACACAATAAGCTATTTCAAATTTCCTAAATGCATTTTCTACTTTACTACAAACCTACAAAGTTTAAAATATAATTTAAGAAGTACCTACATGAGCATCCCTAGGAGATGTAAACAGAGGTGAATCTTTCAAATGGGACCCCCACTATTCATTAATAATGTTAT